TGGAAAGTATGTTTTCTCTAAATTGAAATAGTATTCCATGTTTATTCTTGTAAGATACTATATTATAGTTTTATAATTAAATAAAACTATGTGAAGTGTTACTTATTCATACAATAATCATTTTGTTCAATACCAAATTTGTGAGTTATTATAACCATACTATATGACCTAGATGGCCTGAACGCGACGTTCTTCAGGCGTCGCAAAAGCTACAACATTTGTCACCACATGTCTGCCAACCTAGCTGTTGCAAGCAGCTCTGGTACGGGATTGTCAGTCCTGTATAGATCTATACACAAGTGTCACGCTCCCCTTCAAGGAGAATCTGGTTATAATTTCAGGACTTATGTTGGTACTTGGAAAAGTACATGAAGGTAGTCTCACAAATGCTATATTGATGATTACGCGTAGAACATTGAAAGATTACTTTGTAATAAATACACTGTAAGTAAGTTTCATAAACTGTATAGAATATAGTTTATAAGTTTGTTTTCAGTAAGGCAATCTGTTTGTTTTCCGATAGTTGTCCTCTGTTTGTTTTCCGTTATGTACTATGTTTGTGTTCCTGTTATGTACTTTGTAAACTTGAAACTAATGAATGAGTTCTCTAAACTATACCTATTATAGTTTAGCTGTTTGTTTTACTGTAAAAATCTGTAATACTATTATTCCATGAAATTCTCTGTTTGTACCCATGTAGTATCAAACAGTTTGAAAACCATTTTATATTTATATAAAATGTAATATTTATATAATTATGATTAATTACATATTCGATTAAATAACTTTACCTCAAGCCCACAACCAAACAAGGAACGTGAAATGGGGTCAAATTTCTAAATCTTCTGAATCCAAATTATAAAATTTACACATATATAAATATGTAATTTTACACAATTATAACAATTTAAAATATACTAAAACATTTAAAAATCTTTTAAGATATTAACACAATTTTATTGTGTTTCACTTGTATTCCTCCCCCCCCCCCTAATACAGTTAAAAGTCATAAAAATGTAGGGGTATGAACTCACCTTTCGTGAGTGATTTGATTGAAGGTTTGATTTAGGATGTTACTTTCCACGAAGGAAATCCCGTAGTAAAACAAATCCTATATAGCAATTTGTATAGTATATATATGTAACCAATTAGTGAATATAATCATAGGAATGATTGGAAATTGGTCTAATTTGTAAGTATAACTTACAAATAGGAGTGTTAGAAGCTAAGATGGAGGCTGCAAAGAGTTCACGGCCAGAAGGGGTGTTCACGGCCCAAGAACACTTGGTGTTCTTGAGTTCACGGCCCAAATAGTGAGGATATTCTTGGGTTCTCGATTGATGCTCTTGATAATTTGAAGAACACTTGAAGATTCAAGTGTTTTTGGCCAAAGTATATGAAGATTGGAAGGTGATTGTTTGATAAAGATGAAGAATAATTGATGTTCTTGAGGAGAGAGGAGGTTTTCGACCCTTGCTACTTGAGAGAGAATGAGAGTGTTTGCGGTTGGAGTGTGTGGAATGAGAGAAAAATCAGTCACTTTAGTATATATACTTAAGAGTCTTCGGCAGTGAACACATCCCGAGGAGATAAGATATTTGGGTTCACGGCCGAGAAGGGGTTCAGGGCCTGCGAAGGGTTCATGGCCCGAAGGCAGCAAACGGTTCACGACCCATGCGAGGTTCACGGTCCTCAGGGAAGAAAGAAGGAAAGAGGATGCGAAGTTTCTCGGTTTTTAAAGTGTTTTTCCTTCTAAATTCTACCACAAATATTCTAAGGTTTTTAACATGTAAAAAGTATTATTCTAACCTTAATAGAAATTCAAACAATAAAGGGGACTTTAATTGACCCAAGTTTGACTTTGGTTGACTAGGGTTGACTTTACAAGTAGAAAATAACGGGATGTTACATATTGATCTTTTCATTTTTTACTTAAAAAACAATCTAGGGTTTGATGAATTGATCTTCAAATCCAAAAATGTTTTTGAATTAGGAAATAATTCTGAATTCAAGTAGTATTTCTATCATTCTCACTCCCAAACTCTACCAAATCCAACCCTAATTGATTGTTGTGGACTTTGGTGAGGATTTAAGGTTTTGGATACCTTATCCTTGGGCAAACCATGAGTGATTGTTTTGATTGTTTCGTATGATGAAAGTAAACTTGTCTCAATGATTTGAAAACTTACCCTCAAGATAGATAATCAGCAATCACCATGAGTCCTATTTCGATTCATTATTCGGTATAAACTTAATCTAGGGCTTCCATGGCAATTTTGATATTTTGAAGATAAAGTAAATGTGTTTTAAATCATTTATTGATAGAAGTTACTATGAATGGAAGCACTAGATCATATGGAAATTAGAATATTGATGATTATCCTTGTTGGAAATGGATTTGAAGAGTACATTGAAATTAAGTTGTCTCAACAATGGAATCATAAATTCCAACATAAAAGTCCATTGGGAATTGAGCATTCCATGATTTAATAAAATGTTTAGAATCTTAATAAGGTGTTTGGAATGTAGAATCTAAAAAATAAGATTAACTAAAAAGTTTAATTGCTGAAAAACTGAAAACAAAGTTTCAAAATCGTCAAATGAAAAGTACATGCAGAATATTAAAATAATGAATTAAAGAAACATTCAAAAGATGCAATTGTATATCCTTTTCATGTATGCTAGTTGACTAGGATAACTCTTTATTATGAATATGCAGTATATGACACTTGGTGTCATGGTATGCTAGACTGGTAGGGTTTTGCCTGTTGATTATATGATAATGTTAGGTGTCATGATTGGGTTAGGGCAATGATGGTATTGGTTTGGTCGTTGAATGGATTCCCTAGGGGTTGTATGCAGTTTAAGTTAGATAGCCTGAGACCTCTTGGTCTAAAGCCTTATTACATGGTTCTTGTTTGATTTATTGCTTTCGGGTGGGATAATATGTTCGATTGTCTATCTAACTCCCAACTATATATGGCTATTTATTCATGAGGAGGTCGTCAATATTAGCATTGACTTGTTATGTACGTTGGGGTGGGCCCGTTATATGAGTAAGGGTTGGGCTCGTTATACTCTTTGGGTTGGGCCTGTTATATGAGCTAGGGTTAGGCATGTTATGCATGTTGGGAGGGGCCCATTATTTGAGATATGGTTGGGCCCGTTATGCATGTTGGGAGGGGCCGGTTATATGAGTTAGGGGTGGGCCCGTTATACTCCTTGGGCTGGGCCCATTTTTATGTTTAGGCTGGGCCCGTTAAGTATGTTGTATGCTTGTGATTAGGAGAGCAGGTAGGTTGGCGTTAGATCCGAGGACTTTGTGTTGATGTATTGTATATATGATGTAATATGTGGTATATTAGGGAACTCACTAAGATTTATGCTTACACTTGTGGATAAAATGTTTTGCGGGTTGTTCGTGAGAAGAGCTAGGCGAGATTTTACACACACATCGAAGATATTGATTTCTGCTGTTTTTGTAATTTGACTCTGATAACATTATGTTTTCAAACAAATGAATGTCACTTATTTTTTTAAAGTTGAAGGTTTTAATCGGTTAAACTGTTTTTAAAATGAAAAATCTCTTCGAAATTTTCGGGACGTTACAGAAGCTACAGAAGCAACAATGGATAACATTAAAATCTTTTAAGGTGAGTACTACTCAATACATGTCCCCTACATAAAACCAAATATGATTTCAAGAATTGAACTTTATTATATGTGTTATACTTGTATGTTATATGTTTTATTTAAGTGTCTATCTCTATTTGCATTCATGAAAATGAGTTGTATTAAAGAGTGTTGATTAAGAGTACAGGATGTAAATATTTTGAAAAGATTTCTCATATTATTATGCATTCATATAAGATAGGAAGAGAATTGTGCATGTGTCTTAAAAGTCCATGGAAAAAGAGAACAAAAGAGCACAAAAGATATCAGAAACCTATGAAAAGAGACTAACATGTGTGAAAATATACCAAAACGTGTGATAAGAGACTAAGAGCGGTGAACGAGGATTCGGAATAGAAGCATAATGCATTACATCTTTTATATGCATTTTTTAATTGATTGTTGTCTTCTAAAGTGTTTAAAAGATAACGGTTTTGAATGGAAACGATTTACTTACATCTAAAGAGTTTTACAAAGATTTTGGGGATTTCTCATTGGTCAAAGGAATGTGTTAATTCCTATGACTTGAAGATGTGAAATTGCAGTATTAATAATCGAGCATTCATAATGCCCAACCTATATTTTGACATGTATTCAAGTGAAGGTAGTGATTGTAGAATAAAAGACCATGGATGTTTAAAAGGTCCATATTATCTGGTGGATATTTGAAACGATGTAATGATGTCATGATTGTTACCCCCTCTTATTTAGGATGATTTGAAACTACTAAACTTACATTTTAAAGACTATAGTACCTTATTTCCATAAAAGATATTTTAAAAAGAACTCATATGATTTACCATTAAACCAAAAAGAGGGGTGTTTCAAAAAGGCATTTAACTTCATAGGAGTAACCAAGGTTCAAAAAAGCTCGTCATGGCTCTTAGGCTTGTACTTGACGTTGCGTTTTCACATAATGCCGCCTTAAGTCATATATGTATATATAAAAATAAATTATATATATATATATATATATATATATATATATATATATATATAGTGTTAGGTTCAAATGAGAACTATTTTTAAAGTGAGAACATGAGGACAAATCTCAGCCAATCAATATATATAATTAATTAAATAAAAAAATTATATTATTTTACATTAATAAGGCAAGGTTTGATTGTTTAATCAAATTTAAAGAATATATCAATGTAAACTCCTACAATTAAGGAACGTTTCATATTAGTTATAACAAACATTTATCTCGATCTTCAATCATAAATCGTGTGTATCAATCGTGTGTATCAATCATCAATATTAACAAACCATACTGAATCGGATATTCAAGTTAAGCTGTTCTGAAAGTTTTACATAAGAATCCAGTAATGGATTTGTCATTCGCCAACGAGTTTGATGATATAATCGAGATCAATGAAGAGGATGAGATCAATGACGTTCAATCTGCATTAGTCGATGACGATTTTTTGTCAGGTGATGATGTTTTTTGTTCGACTGATCATGATAATCCCTCATTCGGAAAAGTCAACATCATGGATGACCACAATATTCAAGTTCCTGGTATTTTTTTTGAAGTTTTTTAATTTCGTTAAATATGTGTCAATTATATTACACAATTTTGTATTTTGTTATAATACTATCAAAAAATTGACATTTCAGAATCGTATACTTTATTGAAAATGTATATTTAAGTTTATTTGATTTGTTGTTTTGTTAATTGTATTATGTTATTAACTTGTCATGGTTATTAGATGTTACAGACATTGAATTATGTAAAGAGAGAAAAGATGATTGTCTTGATCAACACTTGGTAATAGCTAGTAAATCGTAGTGGATTCCTTCTGTCCCTGATGATATTAAGCCAATAATAAAGCATAAATACCCATCTGATGATGCAATTGAAGAAATGTACAGAAGATATGCATGTGCAGCAGGTTTTGATGTTAGGAAGTCAACAAACAAAAAGAAGGGTGGAATTGTGTACATCAAATATCTTCTATGTAATAGGGAAGGTTTCCCAAATACATCTCCTGTTGATACTTTGGACCCAAAAATAAGTAAAATTAAAAGAAGGGTTGACACTAGGAGGACCGGATGCAAGGCACATATACGATTTAAAATTTTTCCTGGAACTACCAATTGGTTGTTATATGAATTTGAAGAAAAACACAATCATCCACTTTTATCAAGAGACAATATGTTGTTTTCACGTCATCATAGGCAGTTGGATGACACTCAAAAATCTTTCATTCTTACAATGTCTAATCAGAATATTGGTGCAACCATAGCTCATAGGTTGTATACAAGTATTCTTGGTGGATACAATTTTGTAGGCGGTCTAATTGATGACTTTAAAAATTATATGAGGGATCTCAATAGCTTTATTGGTGGTAGTGATGCTCAGATGCTAGTGGACAAGCTGAATAACAGAAAAGAGAATGTTAAGAATTTTTCTTTTGATTATCAAGTTGAGAATAAGCAGTTCAAATTCTCTTTTCTGGGCAGATGAAACATCCAAGATCAATTATAAAGAGTTTGGTGATGTAGTTTCTTTCGATGCTACTTTTCGAACTAACAGGTTGTAAATGATTGTAGTTTAATATATTTCTATTTATTAATAATATATATATATATATATATATATTCAAATAGTTTTACAGGTACCATATGGTTTTCGTCCCTTTTACTGAAATTGATAATCATAAGAGGTGTGTCACTTTTGGTGCTGGCTTGTTGATCAGAGAAGACACTGATTCCTATATATGGTTGTTGAAATCTTTTCTTAAAGCTTTTGGCAAACAACCATTGTTGGTTTTATCCGACCAAGACCCTGCAATGAAGAAAGCCATCGAAACCGTTTTCCCACAATCGATTCATAGGCTTTGCATGTGGCATATCACATCTAAATTGCCATTGAAGGTATTTATTCTTGTCTATGTAATACACTTTACCAACAAAACAATCATCTTTTTATTCAAACCAGAATGTTTTTTTTATAGCTGATTACATATATTAAATTTACAAATTCCCAGGTTTCTTTGAACATTATCAACAATCTAGAATTTCGCAAAAAGTTCAACTTCTTGATATGGAATTATAGGCTTGAAGTTGATGACTTTGAGGTAGGGTGGAAGTCCTTATTGAATGAATATAAGCTCACAGATAATAAATGGTTGGATGATATGCATGGATTGAGACATTTCTGGATACCTGCATTTTTCAAGCATCTACCTTTATCAGGATTAATGACAACCACATCTCGTTCTGAAAGTGAGAATTCTGCATTTCACCAGAACACTCATTATGGTTCTACTCTTGTCCATTTTATGATTTCTTTTGAAGCTGCTATGGAGAAGCAAAGATTCACTCAATCATCATTTGACTTCAAGACTAACGACAAACATCCAACAATGAGGACACCATTAGAGATCGAGAGGAATGCATCTATGTTTTACACTCGCACTGTTTTTCGTCAAGTTCAGAATGAAATGTACTTGTCTATGGTTTCATGTTCACAAATTTGTATTTGACATCCCCTAATTTCTCGGCCAGAAAAGACCGATTTAATTTATGCTTTTAAAATAAAATCAGAGAAATCCTTTTAAAAGATGTTGCGGAATTGGTCCCCAAAACAAAACATGATAGAAGTTTATCAAAACCTTTCTTTAAGAAATATATATAATTTCCTTTTATATCAAAACCTCGGGATGTCATGTTCCGATACAGATCAAAAGCATAAACAAGACATTATAAGCCTTACAACAGTTATTTACAATTACTGGCCTATAATCCAAAAATCTTTCATCATCATCCGACTATGCTCGGGGTCCAATACCTGTAACATAAAAAGCTGAGTGGGTCAGGCTTGGGAGCATGGTGAGCATATAGGGTTTTCAACCCACAATAATAATAACTTATTAAGTTCACCAATCAACAATAACCCTGATTACCCATTCCCGTTATCCTCACTTTACGTCCCTAAACACCTATCACAAGGGACCTAGCCTAAGGAATATCATCGGGATGGACACTACTGCTAAGGGGACTCCTCAGCCATACATGTCCTAAAGGCAACCATGAGGGGGATGGAGTACGCCTATGAACATTTAGTTCACCAACACCTACAAGTTGCGAACCTGCTAGTGTTCCACTGGACTGTCTAGAAAGGTCTGTGGTCGTCATCTATACTCCGCTAGACGACAACAACAACAACAACAACAACAACAACAACAACAACAACAACATCGTGGCCTCTCATCATTTTAACACCCATCGACTATTTCGTCTACCCATGTTCTACCCAACATATTTGTAGATAAAATACATATACAGTTTAAAACTTGTATAAAACATCTATTCAACAGTCACCTCAATTAAACAATTAATATATTTACACATAGCACGTATTTTAAGGTAAATACTTCATATCTATGTGTAAGGTGAAATTGACTACACACTCACCTGATTTAATGATAATCGGGCAGCACTTCGTTCCCTAAAACGATCGTTTCTAATAAAACCGGGAGTTTTATTGAGAAACCGGGCTCTGCGAGGGTCAGGCTTCGAACCGAAAAGATAAATTTCTCGGGCTTCTCAGGCACTTCGGGACGTGTTTCGGTGTGTTTGTATGATATCGGGGCTTTGGGGGAAGTTGGAATGAAAGAAATATTGAAAAAGGGGTTAAAAATGACAAGTTTTCAAAATATACTCGGGAGGTCTCGCACCCTTCTATTTATAGGGGCGAGGCTTCTGATCGGACGGCTGAGAGGCTTCCAGGTGGCAGCAGATGCGAAGAGAGGTCACATGGGTCGCACGTGCGAGGGTCTTGCAGCTGACCTTTGATTGGACCGAAGTCTAGGTCCGACGTTCGGACCCGAAGCAAGAGGGAAGGGAGACAGCTGGTGCGAAGGTCGGACACGCGGCAGGTGGTGCGAGGCTCGGACTAGGCTGCACATGCGTCACTCCTCGGATGCGCCACAGCTTCGGATGACTCAGCAAATTTCGGACACGTGGCACGTTTTGAGCGAGGGTTATGTGGCCGAAGTCCACCATGCGAAATTTCTCGGATTTGACATTTTTTCTCGATTTTTGTGCAAAAATTTCTAAAATCCATAACTTTCGCATACGAGCTCCGTTTTTTACGTTATTTATATGCACGCGTAGGTAAAATTATGCTCTACAACTTTCGTTTAGACTTCTTCGGCAAATTTTGACTTTAATTTTTATATTATTATTTTTAACAGACCGGGACAGGAAATCCGTTAAAAATTCATAACTTCTTCATCGAGTCCGTTTTCGTCTGTCTTTTGACCGTTGTACTACTATTGATGAGACCTTCGATTCTCGTTTAGGTTGTGTCGGCAAAAAATCACTCGATCTAAAATTCGAGTTTTTAGCTGTCTACTGCTAAACTGAAACTTAGAAAAATCATAACTTGTTCATACGAAGTCAGATTTGGGCGTTCTTTTTATACATACTCTCGGTTTGACGAACACTATGAATTTCGTTTAGATCACTAAGGCTAAAAAGTAGTTTATCAAAAACTCACTTTTTACGTCATTCGGCACCGTGCCGGTTCTGTCACGAAACTTCGACAGGTCATAACTTCTTCGTTATAACTCGGATTTCGGTATTCTTTTATATCTGTAATCCTTTGTCACGACCACTACAAATTCTTATAGATATCGGCTTTATCTAATATTTATTTTCGCGCTCATTTTTATTCTTAATTAATTAAATCCTAGTAATTAAGCATAAAACAAATAATTCACATAATATTCAATAATTCCTTTTATTTCTTCAAAATGAGTTACACAAAGGTTAACCTAGACTATCACATCAATATTAATGCCTAGCCTAGAAACACGAGCATTACAATTCTCTCCCCTTTAGGATAATTCCGTCCCCTAAATTACACATCAACAAACAACTGCGGGTAGCGACTCATCATGTCACTCTCCGTTTCCCATGTGAGATTTGGTCCATTCGTATGTTTCAACGCACAAGCACTAAATCGCCCATCTTGCGTCGCAAACTTCTTAGTCTTACGGTCAACGATTGCCTCAGGTTCTTCAATTAACCTCTTGTTTTCATCCAACCTTAATTCATAAATGAGAATTATGTCGAGCACATCTCCCGTGAACTTTCTCACAACACACATGAAAGGTGTTATGAATACCCTCTCGTTCTTTCGGTAATTCTAGCTTGTAAGCTTGATTCCCGATCTTCTGAAGAACTTTAAACGGTCCAATAAACCTTAGACTCAATTTTCCCCTTTTACCAAATCTTATAAGTCCCTCCACGACGAGACTTTAAGTAAAACCGAATCTCCAACTTCGAAGGATATCGGTTTGTCCTTTCCTGTCAGCATAACTCTTTTGTCGATCTTGAGCTGCTAACATCCTTTCCCTAATCACTTTCAACTTTTCAGCAGTCTGATGGACTATTTCAGGTCCCATACACTTCTTTTCCCCAGCTTCCAGCCAACATGACGGCGTTCGACACTTTTCTCCATACAAAGCGTGATAAGGTGTTATCTTAATGCTCGAGTGGAAACTATTATTATAGGAAAATTATACTAGAGGTAAGTGTTCATCCCAGTTACCTTGGAATTCCAGGGTACATGCTCTCAGCATATCCTCCAACGTTTGAATTGTTCATTCGCTCTGACCATCGGTTTGTGGATGGTAAGCTGTACTCAAAACACAACTTGGTACCCAATTCCTCTTGTAGACTTCTCCAAAACCTTGAGTAAAACGGCTGTCACGATCGGATACAATCGTTAACGGAACACCGTGAAGCCTCACAATTTTCTTCACGTAAGAATTCGCA